CCCCCCCCCCCCCCCCCCCCCCCCGGCCCCCCCCCCCGCCCCCCCCCCCCCCAAGGGCCCCCCCCCCCCCCGATTCGTTCTTTCTCGCGCGTCTCCCCGCCGTCGTTCGTCGCTGCGAACTGTCCGCGAGAGAGCCCGCGTCTCGTTCCCTCCCCCGTAAAAAGGAATAACCGATCGTGTCGCGGCTTCTTCTTCCCCGTTCGCGCGAACGAAACCAAAAGCAAAGCGAAGAAACAGCGGCGACGCTGGAACACGCTGCGCGAGTACCGACGTAGTCGTCGACGAGATTCGAGACGGTCGACCGTGTCCGACCTTGGAACGAACCCGCGGAACCCCTCCGCGTTTCCGTACAAATTTGCAGAAAAAAAGTATCGATCCGAACCACCCCGATGTTTTTCGCGTCCCTAGAAAATCTAGTCGTCCTCGCACGCTCGGTGTCCAGAGAGAGAGCAAAGCGAACTTCTCCGACAAAAGCAAGAAAAAAGAAAACCATCGAAAAGACGATAGAAAACGATCGACTTTTTCTCCCCGCCCACCCACGTTATAATTATAATCCACTATATTTTATTCCAGATTGTCACTCGCAATTTACTACTGCATTTTTAATAGCGACCGAACATTCATCGATCCTCCCGTTACTTCTGTACCCGCTCGTAACTTGGTAGCCACGATTATTACGTATCCAGCATTCCTCGCAGCCAGGATCCGCACTCTGCCCATGTCCGCCACGGCCGATCGTCGACCGTGGTAGCGCGCGCGGAAGTTCGCGAATCGGCTCGCTCTCGCTCTCTTTCTCTCTCTCTCGCGCGCGTACACGCTTTTACTCTATTGCTCTGTCCTCCCTCTCTCACGCTTTCTCTCTCTCTCTCTCTCTCTCTCTCTCTCTCTCTCTCTCTCTCTCGTCATTCCGTTCTATCCATCCGTTCACGAACCTCCTGGCAGAGTGCTGGTCCTGCGCCCCGTTTTAGTTTGATTTCCGCTTTTCAGTGACTCCGCAGAGCCATGATGCGTCCCGCGAAACGACTCGCGTAAGAATTTCTGCCGCGATACACCTCGACCGCTTCGACGGATTGCGAACGCGATAGAATCGGAGCGGTTCGCGCGACGGACCACGGCTCTGCCGCGCCAGGGAAAATGGACCGCGAGACCGCCGTTTTCAGCGGCGTCCATATTTACCTGGCGCATCCTCGCAGCGCGTCCTTCGGCATCGGGACGCGGCTGAGCTCGACTCGACCGATCTTTTCTCGGAGCTCTCGAACATCTCCGAGGACGGTTACGGTCGCGCTACGGTTTCCGCCGTGTTTCCGCTCGCACGATTCGCTTCCCCGAAAGCACGCGCCGCAACGGCGTCTCTCGGAGGATTTCGAGCGGGACCGCGGGAACGCGGCTCGACGCCCGCGGCCGCGGCACCGCGACGCGAAGCCGCGTCCCGGTGCTGTCGACTCTACACCCCCCCGCCACGAACCACCACGTAGCCGGTGTACTCGAGTCTCACGCTCCGTAGAGCACCCGTACCATAACACTCCGATGCCTCTTAAACGCCTGGCGACTTGATTTTTCTTTTCGTTCTCTGTCCGACTCGGCGCTGTCTGTTAATCTGATAACTCTTCTTCTTCTTCTAGCTACCGTTTCATTTCCATCGTGTCTGTTCTTTTCTATCTAACTTTTCTCTCTTTTTCTTTTCACAATTTTTCGTTCTTTCATCTCTGCCTCTCTCTCTCTCCCTCTATATACACGTTTCTTTCATGATAACTCTCTCTTTCTCTCTCTCTCTCTCTCTCTCTCTCCCCCTCTCTCTTTATATACACGTTTCTTTCATGATAACTCTCTCTTTCTCTCTCTCTCTCTCTCTCTCTCTCTCTCTCTCACTCACTCACTCACTCACTCACTCACACTGTCTGTCTGTCACTGTTTTCTTTTTTTATCTTCATTTATCGAAAAGTACACTTTTATGCACAGAACAGACACCGTGGCGGAAACACGTACACGTACGCTCAGACAGTTGGTTGAACGCGTGCACGGGTATAGGGCGAACGTTGGTAACGTGGAACGGACGTTGACGCGGAACGCGACGGGACCTCGGTTGAGAAACGATTCCGCCCGGGGAGCCTGCGCGATGCTGGATGCCGCAAAACGTTTGCGTTGCTCCGATTCGATTGGGAACGAGGTCGCCGCAAAGGTCCGCGTCGGAGCTGTTCGAAAAGCACTTTCGCAGGATTCTTGCGGCGATTTTTGCGCACGGCTGGAGAATCGTCTCGGCCGGGTCTCTCTCCCGGTTCCCGCGCCGCGACGACGAAGCTTCCGTTTCGAACGAGGAGGAAAGGTTACATTATCGCGAACGACCTCGTCTCTCCGCGTTACCGTCGTTCGGCCTGTCCGGTGGCAAGCGAGAACACACGGCACCGGCGAACCGCGCTCGCTAGAATTTACACGAACACGAACCGTATCAGAGGAACGTTCCCACCCTCACCTTTTTACATTTTGTGTCTTTTCCCCAGTGTTGAACTGCAGAAAGCTAACCTTGAGGCCCAAAATACCCAAACCCCTGGCAGCGGTACCACTCCCGGGGCATCCGGAGCCAGTGCTTCTCCCTCTACCACCACTACCACTGCCTCTCCCTTGGCCAGCGCCATTCCCTTGGCTCAGCTGCTAAGCAAGCCAGGCGCCCTCAACGCCCTATCTAGCCTGACCGCCCTCGGCGGACTCACGGAATTGCTAGGTGGTGCTGCTGGCGCGGCTGCATCCGCGCTTCCGGTCCAGACCACCGGCGTGCACCGGTCGCACAAGTTCACGCCGAGGTTGCGTAGCCCCGGCGCACCCGGACCGACCGACAGCGGAAAATTCAAATCCGAGCGCACCAAGTACAACCCGTACTGAGCCAACGGACCATCGACCACGGAGAGACGCGACAGGGAGCTGCTCGTTGCACGTTCGAACACACGCATTGCTCGTCGACGACCGGAACCGGAACAAGAACAACAGCGACAAGAACCGCCGCTCGACCATACACACACGGTACACGAAATCGATCGCGTCGGAGATACGCGCGTACGGACGCCAGGGTAGCGCGCGAGTCGCGGGCCACGCGGGCCGCGAGTTCGGATTTAAGACTTGGCCAAGGATCGGACCACGACCTTTTTTTCGATACGGACTTCTCGTTCCTCTTCTACCGCTACCGCCGCTCTCTGCCGCTACTACCGCTAAAACTTCCACCTCTCGACGGTAGGATAAGACACTTTTTTTTTCTTTCCGCGAATCGAGAATATAACCGTGCGCGCGTACGATGTTTCCTTTTTCGTCTTTAAGATCGCGTTGCATTTCTCCGAGATATACAGGGTGTAGACGAGGTCCGAAGGACCTTTCGTTTGTTCGAGCTTGTCCGTGTGGATCTGGAATATTCGGAGCTGGGGTGCGCGCGCGGGCTCTCTCCTTCGTCGCGGTGCTTTCAACGCGTTCGCGATAGTTTTCTAAAAGCTTACATTTTTTTTGTTTCCAAAGAATACGTTATTTCTTTTTAGTGCCGAGACATCGAGCGATTCCAGAGCACGCGATGTTCCGTTTTTTTGTTTTTTTTTTCGGATTATCGTTTGGATCACGGAGGATCGGGCGCGTTAACTCGAAATCGCGGAGCGTTTCGGTCGGGTTTCGTTGATCGAGTAGATTGGAGCGGCGGGCGGGGGAGGGGAGGGGGATAATCGATCGTAGCTTTCGTCGCAAAAGAAACGATCGCTGGTTTAGCCTAGGAACTTTTTCGAATTCGTAGACTCCTCGGAAGGATTTTCTCGTTCGGATATTCCGGATCCACGCGCGTGTAACGCCTACGTTCGTAGTAGACACGGACTTCGAAGTTAGCGGTACGCGAGAGCGTGCCCCCGTGAACGAAGATCGTCGAGATCCGACGCTAAGTCTTCGGGGCCCTTGACGCCAGCTGGACGCGTCCTCCGAGTCCTCGTTTGTTCGCGCGGAGAGCCTCGCGAATCGGTCGCGAAGGCTTCCATCGGCGAGCCCTCGTTTCTTACTTCGTACGGATGATTTCTTGCGATCGAGACTACGCGGGATCGTACCGCGCGTCGCCTTCGAATCAAAAAGAACGAGGAACGATCGTCGCGGTATCGGAAATTACGACTCGGGAGGCGCGACTGCTTGCGCGCACCGTCGCCTTTACGTACGTACACGCATACGTGCGTGTAATGGAAGGTAAACGCGACGAATTAATAATCGATTAATCTTTGAAGCAGAACAACCTTTTCTTACTAGCGTTAGATTATATAAATATAAATATAGCTGACCACTTGAATCGAGAGAGAGAGAGAGAGAGAGAACGAAAGCGGAGAAACATAAAATTATGTCGCGATCGACGCAAAGGACGAAACAAATTTAGGGTGCGCGTGTGCGTGACGAGTGGATGACGAGCGACTGCGAGAGAAAGAGATCGAGCGAAACGATTATATTTTATTTTCACTTTTCGATTTAATCTTGACGCGTGCGCGCGAACGACGATAAGAGAGAGGGGAGAAAGAGAGCGGGAAAATGATCGCGCGCGGCGTTGGGGTCGGGATTCGGAAAAAGAAACGGACGGATATACGCGTGGAATCATGTAACGCGGCTCGAACGAGCAAAACGGCGGACTTGCTCCGCCGGGCGATCGCGGCAAGAATGCGAGAATGAGAGAAGAGGCAACGATCGGAGAGCTTATTTGTACCGCGAGGTAGTGGTTCGTCGAATAACGTCGTCGGTGAATATAAATATATTATATTCGATTATACGAGGTAATCAATCAATCTACGATAGTGGTCATTTTATTGTAACGATATAATAATTAATATACGAACAGGCAATGGAAAACGTAATCGTTCGCGAGGAGAGAAACACGGTCGATTGTAACGCCGATGTATACATGTACCGGGATCTAGAGAGAATAAAGTATAAAGTGAATCCAGTTTGGATAAATTAGGTTAAATCGAGACGTTTTTAGATACGTATTATACCTTTAACCGACGCGCGAAACGCGCGCGCGCGCACACACACATACACACGCGCGAGAAAGGGGAATCGTAAGAATTCCTCCGAGAATCCGTACGAATTGTATTCGCGCGTCGAATTCGCGTCTTTTCTTCTTGACCGCGACGAGCATCGAAGAGAGGACGAAAACCGATGGGCGGAAACGGAGAGCACGAAATCGGAATACCGTCGCGCGAGCCCGAAGACGAGAAGAGAAGAAAAGACTACGACGAGAGAGAAAGAACGGACGGAAACCGATCGTTCGTTCTCGTTCGAACGAGATTCGGACGTAACCGGATCGACGTTTGTGTGCTCAATTTCTAGTTCGTAGCGAGGAAGCAACGTTGTGCATCCGACGGACCGTGATCCACCGATCGCGATATACCGATCGATCGGACGTGGGGAGCGATCCCGCGGATCGTCGCGACGATCCGTTCGAACCGCGCGTTCCGAGCGGCTCTTCTCGATCCTCGTGGGAAGGTCTCGATCGGACGGTCGCGCGCGATCGCGATCCACGTCCTCGGCAATTAACATAATATATCTAATTTTCGTTGCGTTCTTCGTTCTAAACCGATCCGTAGTCTCGCCCCCCACCCCCATTTCGTGCGTTGTTTCGTTTCGTTCGGTTCGTCGAGACAATAAGGAGCATTTTCTTTGAATCGCGCGCGTCGAATCGGGAGACACGGAAAGAGAGAGAGAGAGAGAGAGAGAGAGAGAGAAAGTGATTCGAACGGAAGATTTTCCGCGATCGAGATTACGAGAGCGAGTGAGAGGGAGAGGAAGAGAGAGAGAGGGGACAGAAATAATAGAGTATACACAGGATTTTACGTAGGTACGTTAGTTTTCAAACTGTATATCGGTCTCTATAAACGATGTCGCCAGAGCTTGTGTGCTTCACAGACATTAGCTACCCTGTATCACCTTGTTGAATAAAGCTAGGGGTGTTTAATACGATACGAGCTGCAAACTGATAAACAACGACCGCTACGTACAACGGGTCGTACAACGGAGAAAAATAAGAAAAACAACGGCGGACGCCGCGCGCGCGCCGGTGCCTTCCGTCGAACGCCGTGCCGCAACGTTACTCGTCGCTGTCGCCATTTTGTTCGCGTCGCGAGTCGATACCGGCGCGTTTGCAGGGAGTTGCCATTTTTGCGAGCCTCTCTCGCCCAGCCGTTTTTCCTTACCTGGATGGAAATATTGCATATTCGGGCTGCACGCGCGTTTATTTATACGAACGTATCGATCCGGAGTCCCCGGGGGTACTAATTCCGTAGTACCTTGCGCGACCACGTTTCTGGCGTGCCGCGTTCTATCGTTGCCACCTTCTTCGTCGTTTTTCCTTTTTTTTCCGTTTTTAGCGGCGACCAACCGGCCGTCGCGTCGTCGAACGAAAGCGGAACGCGCGACGAGCGAGGGTTCTGGTCCGATCGATGAACGCGAGTCGAGAGAGAATCGACGGACGTCGCGATGCCGCTGGCTGGCATTTTCTTTCGTCTTCTCGTTGCCGGTCCGACGCGACGCGCGCGAATCGGTCCTCGCGAACGATTCCAAATTCGTCGTTATTCTCCGCGGCGAGTTTTCCACGTTCGCGTGAGAAACGAGGACGCGATTCGCGACGGGTGCGTCCGATCGGAGCCATCGGATATCGATCCGACGATAAAATCGCATCGAACGAATAACTTTGCCGAACCGAACACGGATCGTTTGTAGCGCGTGAAATATCTACCGAATCGCCTGCAATATTTCCACCGATCGAACAACGACATTTCATTATAAGTTCGCGATATCGTACGATATTAATTAACGATCGGACTTCCAAAAGCCGCGATACGCTCGAAGCCTGTCCGCCGATCGAGCGATCGTCCGGAGCCGAAGACGGAAACGATCGCGATCGCTGGGGATGCGGCGCGTCGCTCGATCGTTCGATCGGGGGTCTAAACAGGTTCGGGTTGTCGAACTATTTTCTCACAGTTGAGAGAAATTGAAACGGTAAACGACGCGCTACGAGAAAAAAACCGACCGATCGGTCCACCCCCTTTCGATATCGATCCCAACAGAAATACCGTCGATCGATCGATCGATCGAAGAGATTGCAAAGCGACCGAAGTAAAAAATGCTGGGAACTATAGGATCGCGTGCGACGATGTTGCTTCGAAACGTTATCGACCGCTAAACCTGCGAGACCGAATTTTTTGTTCGTAGACTTTTCCGTGTCTGTACGATACGCCCGATTTTACTCGCGTTCGATCGGTCGTTTCTTAAGAAGAGAACAAATTTACGACGTCGAGAGAACATCAACGTTTACAAACTACCACGCATCGTTTACAGTTTCAACTTCGCGATCGAGAATCGCGCGCGAACTCGTCGCATTCGGCCGTGTCCATAAGCTGCGAAACGATAGACGCGTGCAAAATTGTTATTAACCGTTCGAGTCCCGGAGTCGTCGAATGAAACACGGTCGAAAAATGCCGAACAACGCGACAAGTTTCGTTCGATCGAAACTGTCGAGAAGACAACGAGATAGAAAATTCGTTGGTCGATATTATTTGCGTTCAAAAAAAAAAAAGCAGCCGTGCGACGGGCGCGCCGACGGTGGTTGTCTATAGCGTACGAATGTTCTGGGATTTTTCGACGCGTTCTAAACGGCGCGATCGCGCTGCTTCGGACTCGAGCGATTAAAGTCGGCGGTTGCGTATTCGCGCGAAACGAGACGGAGAGACGGTGAACGGGGTTCGGCGAGCGGGGTTCTCGTTCTCGGGCGAACCCGCGCCACGGACATTCTAGACAGGATCGATCGATCGATCGATCGCGTCGCGGCACGCGCGGTCGTCGATCGGCGGGAATCCTATACGCGCGCGCGCACACACGACGTGTTTCGCGCGTGTATAAATATAAACGTACGACAAAGAGCGGAGAAAAACTCGTACGGAAAAAAATGTAGAGAAAGGGGGAGAGAGAGAGAGAGAGAAAGAGAGAAAGCGAAGATGTATCCATCCAACCAACTTGACCCAGGCTCCTGACCGTCTTCGGTAAGCACCATCCGCTCCTTTGTAGTCCCGTTAATCGACACTTTTCCCAGTTTTTTATACGATATACCGTTTTCCGGCCGTCGACAAAATTTTATTATTTTTTTTTTTTTCGTTTTCGATTCGACCGGTTCTTCGTTTTCGCGTACTCTTCGTATTCCCGATACTCGTTCGGCCGTTTATTTTTCGTTGTTTTCTAAAAGAAAAAGTCACGAGATAATACGCGTTGCATACGGTTTAGAATATACGACGTACGCGATCGCGATCGGCCGTTGCTTCGGAGAGAGTCGCCCCTTTGGAAGCGACTCTGCGCGAACGACGGTCCGTTTGCCCCGGAGACGCTCGGTTACGCGACGAAATTTGTTGCGAGTCTATCGTCGCGAAGTTCCTTCGTTCGTTTCGTCGCGAAGGTACCGTCTCGCGGCGTCGCCCGTTGCTCCTCGTCGACGCGCTCGCATCGACGACGAGCGAAGCCTCGCGGAACATTTTCACGCGGGTCCGACGTCGCGAGATCGGATCGCGTCCGCGATCGACGAAAACCGAGGATCTCCTTCGGATCCGACGCGACGCGACGCATGTTCAACAGAGAGAGAGAGAGAGAGAGAGTGCGTGCGAAAGCGCGAGAGAGGGAAGGGGGAGAGGCGAAGAATCGCAACCCGTCGCTCGTTTCGAGAACCGGTGGATTCGAATTGCCCGATTCGAGTTATCTTATAGAAACGGAAATCTTCGGTCGTGGATTTTTTCATTCGGCTGCTCGTCCCCCGAGCCGAGAGAATTTCATTAGCTTTCACCGGACGATTCGAAAGCGGAGTAGTTGCACGCGGAACGCTCGCGACGATTAGGAAGAAATTGTGGAAGTTCTTTCGCGAGCCACCGGTGCCGACAAGTTTCTCGAGTCGCACTTTCGCCGGAGCACGAGCCTAGATTCTTTCTTCGATACCGATCGACGTCTCTCTAAACTCGTGCTTTCGTTTCGTGCGAGCCAGCAACTTTTGAAAGTCGCGTCGTTCTTCGAGCATTTTAACGGGCAATTTCGCGGGACCGGAAGCAAGCTCCGCGGAAGAGCGTAAAAATGAATCCGTAATGGAGTCGAAACGAGCGGGCCCGGGTCGCGTCTTCGCGTCGGCTCCCTCGACCAAGCGGTAATCATGGCATCGAGCCGAGCCGAGCTCGTCTGACAGTCACGGCCAATTCTGTTTCAGGATATCGCACGAAACGGCGGGAATGCAGATACCCGCGTACCACTTCATCCCGCCGGACCACATCGTTAAGTCGCCGATCCACTAAAAGTGGTGATACACACGTATGTCGTTGTCGTCGTCGAAAAACGGACGCGGGGCGTCACGACGCACGCGAGGCTGTCAGTGGCATCTGGGGCTGGGCCACGCAATGTGTTCATCCAGCTTGCTAATCGACACACTTGCAAAAACAAGCAACAACAACAACAAATCTCTATATATATATATACATTTCATATATGTATGCACGCGTGTGTATGTATGTATATATGTATATACGCATACGCTTCATACATGTATGTATGTATGTGTATATATATATATATATGTATATATATATATATATATATATATATATATATATATATATACATATATGAACACGACGGTGGGAGAGGTAGACAGGTTTTACGTGCACACAAAAAATGTTACATACACCATGTTCACACAGGATGGAAAGAAACACGGAGTTACACGATTGGAACATCGGTTTGACGAGGAGTTTACGCGTCGCGTCGCGGTAGGATAGATTCTAGTAATCTATAATAATTAGGAAAGGTATCGAGGAACACGCGACGTACGCGCGCACACACGCATACACACACACACATACACACAACACAGAGAGATACAAACCGACACAATCGCAAGGAATAGAAACGCGAAAAAAGGAAAGAATATTGTGCGCGCGC